AGGGCTGGGGCTTATCCAGGAGGCTGGAGGCTCACTCATGTGCCCGTCCACCCCAAAGGCATGTCCTGCTTCCCACCACTCTTTCTAAGCTAGATGGACACACACAAAAAAAGGTAGGCTCAAAATGGAGGCAACATGCCAACGTTGTATGGTCTTCCCTGTTCTTCCACCATCCCAAGTGTGTGCCAAATCTCCATAGGTGCTTTCAAGCTTACCTGAGAGAGCAGCTAGCTAGCTAGCTCATCAAAATTGCTAGGTACTTACTCCCATGAGGATGATCTACCCTGGGGTCAGGTTTCGGTCCTCATGAAAGGGAGTGATTGATGTGCTTCTGACCAGTAAGGGCTGCAAATCCACAAACGTGTAAAACGTGTGAGCATTTAAGGTGCCTTCCCCGGTTTTGTTCTTTATTTTACAAACATTTATACGGCATTTCAGTAATGTTGCTGGAGTGGGTTACAAAAAGGCAAGGGAGAACAAAAAGATAGTAAGATGCTTAGGGGCTTTACTGCCTTCTTTCCCATCTTGAGGTCCTCCCCTCCCTCCAGATCCAGTTCCCATCACGAAAGGGCTGTCCGTCTCAATGCTGTCTTCGAACTGCAGAGGATATGTCCTGTCTTTTAAAAACCCACTACAGTTCTGCTTGCTTATCAGAGGACAGGAGCCAGTGTTTCCTCCAGCTGAAATGACTTCAAGCCCTATTTCTTGGCTGTTGCTCTCCACCGGCTAATTTAGCTAATTGCTCATTTGGAATTCAATGGCCTGGAGTATTTCTAGGCAAAGAACATTTGTAATGCATCAGAGCCTGCAAAAGTTCTTTTTAAGAGCCTGGCCAATGGCTATGCTGTCTGGGGGATTCTGGGTGTTTTTGTCTGAAGGTACCCCTGGGTAGCTCAAGGGTTGAGGTCTCTGGCCGGGTGGCATTTTGGGCACCGAACTGGCTAGCCACAGCTCTGCACATGCAATGAAATCCAACTGTTGTCATCCTGGAGCATCTCTTGCCCTGAGAATTTCCACCCCCAGTCTGGAACCCCAGGGGGGGCTTGGCAATTCCTTGCACCACCAAGAGATAGTGACCTAACGTCCGAAAGCTAACCCTCCCCAGATAAGGCTGCACCCCACTTGGGCCAGGCAGGGACCCTCTCCTTGTGGATGTCTTCTATCTTTTAGCCTCTCTGCTCTGTCCCCATTGACTCAAGCCGAGAGCCGGTTGAATCCAAAGGGAGGAACGGTTTGACGTGGAGGTTCGGTTCGCTGCACCACCAAGAGATAGTGACCTAACGTCCGAAAGCTAACCCTCCCCAGATAAGGCTGCACCCCACTTGGGCCAGGCAGGGACCCTCTCCTTGTGGATGTCTTCTATCTTTTAGCCTCTCTGCTCTGTCCCCATTGACTCAAGCCGAGAGCCGGTTGAATCCAAAGGGAGGAACGGTTTGACGTGGAGGTTCGGTTCGCCAGCTNCTCCCTCAGCTCTGACACATTATTATTGTAAGGTCAGAGGAAAAGATTGAAACCTTTCTTCTCCCTCAGCCTCTTTCTTCTTTTATTTTTAGAACATGCCACCTCACCAAAAGACAGAGAAGCAGCCCATTGCCTGCAGGACGGCTGCGCTGAAAGATGGATGGTTAGAAACAGGCTGAAACGAGCAAGGCAAGACAAAGCACTGGGTGCCTGTATCACAGATAGGGACACCGGACACGGAAGCCGGTGCTTATCTCAGTCCAGGGATTTTATCCAGGATTTTGGAACAGCTATTCTTTGGTTTGTGCATGGGTATGTGTTCCCCCCACCCCAGAGTCCTAGTACCACTTGAGACTGTTGCATCAACTAGGAGAGC